ATTGACTTTCTCAGTAAGTAAATTCTTTGAGAGAAAATAAACTGGAAATTGGTATATTATCAAGTTCCTTCAGGCCTGAGGTAGCAGAGTTGTCTTTTGGCTCAAATAATTCATCTTGACTGTCTAATATCAGGGAAAAATAAACTCAAATTCCCATGGGGATCAGGAGTGTAATATAAATGAACAACGTGGCCTAGATATAAAAAAATTTCTGGATGCATTTGCCCTTTCTCAGTTTCACTTTTTCTTTTTACTTTCGCTAGAAATTTGGATACAATAAATTTTATGTTCTCACAATTTTATTATAAGAAAAGTAACAGTTTCAGTGCAACGATAAGCACTTACTGCCTCAGGGCAGGGAGCTCCAGGAGAGAGAGATGGGCACTGCATTATGAATGCCCCTTCCACCATGGGCCAACCCTACTGTACCTGATGCGGGTCTGCCCCACGAAAATGTAGGCCCATTCCTTCCAGTTATTCTATTACCTTCAAGAGAAGCTAGAGAACGGAATTTTTATATAGAAACTCTAATTCTTAAACTGTGCCTGCTAACTCAACTTTTATGTAATCTTTGTACCAGTATAGACTGAATTCAACAATTCAATTCAACAGTCACATAACTATCTCAGCATCCTTTGTTCTTAGCCCAGAGCAAATTTCCCAGAGGCAGAGAGCGGGGTGTGATTTATGTGGCACTTAGCCTTGGAAAATAATTTCCCAGCAAGTTGATAAACCATTCTTTTTTCTTCTACCTAGGGCTTAACTGATTATTTTTCCTTTGCCATTAGCCTTTGATAAGTCCCTGTTGCTGCATCATCGGAGGAATGTAGGGAATATAACAATGTGGCTTATTCTAAAATGGATTTTAATATCCACATGCCAAATTACCGTCCCTAAAATATAGCATGTATGTAACAACAACTGACCCCTAGATATGTCCAGTGATATTGTTTAGAAAAGGGTTCACTTCCTTGATAGGTGTTTCAGAAATATTTGGAACACTTTCAACCCTGTAATTATGGAGAAAAATAGGCATTAGAAGGATACCAATTTTTTACCAACCCACTGTTTATAAAAATAAATGGATCTCCAATAAACAAAGCACAAAACACAAAACAATAACAACAACAACAAAAACAAGCACTTCACAAGTCATCTCAAAAAAGAAAAGATTAGATAACTGTGAATTAAGCCAAGGTTTTTATTTTTCTAAAAATCTTTCAGGTGTACTAATCAGGGAGTTTGTTCTAGAAGAAAACTCAGAATTAAAAACAATCATAGATAACAAATATTTCAAGAAGATCTCAAACTGTTTTAGTTTCTCTTCTGGGATCTGAAGAATAGTTTAAAATTTCAACAGCCTCCTTGTGGGAGAGTAAGTTTTTATATTTTAGGGTCCCTTTCCTGTGTTCAGGGCATAACTTTTTTCTGCCATTATAAGAATATTCAATGATGGCAAAGCATTTCTAGAGTGTGAATCTCTTTTTAATGGCACATCCTGAACTTAGGTTAATATGGAGATTTCCTAAAATGCTGATGCTTTCAGGAATCATTGAAATTCATGCTTTATCTTCTGGGCTAATAAATATGTGTCATCTGATTTAGTGGAACATATAATCATTTTTCTCTTTCCCGATCATCTCTCCATCTAACAAAATGAAGTAGCTCCACGCTACACGTGACACATGTGGGTTCTTTCTCTAAATCTGATCCTGAATCTACCATGCTCCAATTACCGATGGGTACATACAAACCACCCCACACCTAGTGGCTTAAAACAAGAGCACTCATTTATTTTCTTATGAATCTGCCATTGTTCATGACTCTGAAGAGATAGCTCCTCTTTGCTTCATATAGCCTCAGCTGTGGATCCTACAGGGGGGCCGAAGATGCACTTTTAAGTGTCACCTGTGGATGGTCTAAAACTTGATGCTGTTTGATGGCTGGGAACTCAGCCTGAGCTGGAAGCAGAGGGAACTGGTTTCTCCCCACAGGGTTATCTGAGTTTCCTCACAGCCTGGAGGCTGTGTTCTAGAAGCAAGTAGAGACAGGGAATGCACGCTGCCTGACTCTTAACGACTAGTCCTAGAAAGCATAACTTACATCACATTCTATTGGTCATGCAGTCACAGAGTCCATCCAGAGTCAAAGGGAGGGAACAAAGACTTTATCTCTCAACGTGAGTAGTGTCAAAGAAAAATTTTTGAAAACAAAATATATATTTATGTATATGCAACTATATATATTTAAAATACATATATATTTACATATATGTCTATTTTTTTGAGGAGAGATGTCACTTTGCCACCCAGGCTGGAGTGCAGTGGCACAATCACAGCTCATGGCAACCTTGACCCCCTGGGCTCAGGCAATCCTTTTGCCATAGCCTCACAATAACTGGGACTATAGACATACACCACCATGCCCTGCTATTTTTTTTTTTAATTTGTAAAGATGGGGTCTCACTATGTTGGTCTTGACTTCATGGGCTCAAGTGATCCTCCTTCCTGAGCCTTCCAAAATGCTGGGCCACTGTGCCCAGCCTATGCTTTTAAAAAGTTATCTCCGGCCACTCTCTCACCACCTCTACTTCCACATCCCTACCTTCCACTACTTCACACACCTGGATTCCAACCACATCAAACAAATAATTGTTGTCCTTCTTTTTTTTTTCCTTTGAATATCATCCTCCTGGACTGCAGAATACTATCAGCCCAGTAAAACTTTAATCATCTTTCGTGAATAAACTAAAATATCCTTTCCTAACTCCCCTCAGTAAGCAACTAGGCTTATTTTTTTTTCTCAGTGTTTTCTTGATGTATTGACTTGGAGTATACTGTTTCTTGGTCGTTTTTAGCATAATGCCTAATGCATAGTGATAATTTAGCAACTCTCTGTCAAGTTAATTAATTATGGAAAATTAGAGAGTAATTTGTTGAGAGATTAAATCTGTAGAAACCCCAGAGCCTAGTTCTGTCTCCGTTTCCCAGAATCTGTGTCAAGATTTCAGGGAAAGTCATCTAATCTCTTTCAACTTCCCTGAGTCCGAGTTTATTCATTTGACAAAAATGTAGCTGTGTCTGTCCCACAAACCTCACTGAGACATGTGAAGGTAAAGTGAAATTTGCATGTAAAAGCACTTTACATATCTAGAACATTCCTGAAATACACAATTTAAAAATTATCAACAGTAGAAAGCTAATCCCCTCCTTGTAAGTGCTTTGACAGATAAGGTTAAATGTTGATTTGACCAAGCATTACTCAAGGAGAAAAGTCCTTACATTGTTTCAGACCCAGTTTTACTGAGGTTATAGAGTTTTCAAAAATTTCCTTAAAAAAGCAATCTTTGGACGCTTGATTAAAATCCAAATTCTGGGATATGTGCCCTGTGGTGCAGTTATCTTAAGAAAGCAGGGCATGCTGTGTGTTTTTTGACACCTGTAGAGTGTTGCAAACATTTATTAAAAAAAAAAAAGTTTTGCCTTCTGAAGGATTCACAGAAATAAGTTTATTTAATTGTATCATGCAGTTTGAAAAAGAATACTTGAAAATATCTCTTCTTTAAGTGATGGTCCTTCTGGTGACTACACACAAAAGCCAGTTTTCTTGCTCTAAAATGGTGCTGCTTCCTTTGAAAGCAAGTAGCTCCTTTTATTATGTAGAAAAAAGAGTGAGAAAAATGTTTTCAGAGACATTAATGATCTGAAGGACCTGGTTGTGGGGAGAGTTAGGGAAGGGGACAGTGCGGGGAGACGTCAGGGAGGATAGGGTAGCCTGACCTAGGCCTTTCGAAGTAAATGGCCTAGATGATTCTGTCTTGGTGCTGAAGCAGGCGAAGTCCATTTACAAAGAGCATACAAGCTCTCAGAATGCATAAAAGCAATGTAAGGGGGCAACACTTAATTCGGTAAGAGTGGATCTAAGTGACAGAGGAGTGTTTACAGCGAGTACAGGGGAAAGCTTCCATGACAAAACCAAGCTGTTGTAGATAGGTTGGGTGCAGACGGTGCTGTATACACAGAGGGTAAGAGTGTGAAGGACTGGCAGCTCAAAAAGGGATAAGTTGTGGTATCACATTGCTTGGAAAGGAAAGGTGATTCGGCAAGAAGCAGTCATCAGGAATGAAAAACTCTTAATTATAAAATACAGGAACATTACACGAATTCAAAAGGCATAAATGAATCTCAGCAGCATACATGTGGGAAAAAAAGACTGGAAATGAGAAAATATATAAAAGACAGAGTCCTCTGACATGGCCTCCCTATTTATGTATTTCTTTTTCTTTTTTTTGAGTGGAGTTGAACTCTGTCATCCACAATGGGGTGTGGTGGCTCACTCACGGCCACTGCAGCCTCGACCTGCTGGGTCCAGGTGGTCCTTCTGCCTCAGCCTTCCAAGTAACTGGAACCACCAGGCCCGGCTGATTTTTTATTTATTTATTGTAGAGACGAGATCTCGCTATGTTGCTCAGCCTGGTCTCAATCCTGTGAGCTCGGACAATCCTCTTGCCTCAGCCTCTTGAAGTGCTGGGATTACAGGCGTGAGCCACTGCATTTGGCTTGTGTATCTATTTTTCAATACACGTTGCTTCTGTCTTCTTTACGAAGAGGAGATTAGTATAAATCATTCTGAGTGCCCTTTACATCCTTGGCATTTAACATATGCCAAGGATGCTTGTGATATTAACTCACAATATTATTGTGTTTGGGCACTTTGTTATTATTCTTGTCCAGCGTTGACTAATTCAGTAGATCCATAGTGTGTGATTAAGGTTATGTTCTTAGGAACTGTAAATGCCTTAACAATTTTTAGTCATGTTTGTGTGTCTCCAAATCCTGTTGGTTCTGTAAAAATGTCTGGTTACTACCAAGGCAGGAAATGGCAGTGCCTGAATTTATTTTTATGTTTTCCTACATAGGTGGACAGAAGGGTAAATGACAGTCCTGTCAACCCTAGAGGGCGTTGTTGCTCTTATGCACTAACTGTTGTCCTTCTTCCAGTTATGTGTTTGAGAACAGAAAGTACGAGGTCTGGAAATGAAGTTAATGAACTTGCCACCATGCATTTACATCAGCAGCACTGTACAAGCAACTCGGTAAGGTTTCATAACCTTGGTATATCAGTGTCTCACAGCTGTGTTTGTGTTGATGTGCAGCATTGTCTTGCTGAGTGCCGTTCATTATTGTTGTTGCATGTTTCTGTGTGCCGTTGCAAGAATGTCGGAGCTTGAATTAGAACAAGGAACAGACATTACGTTTCTTGTTAAACTTGGCAAGAGTGGAAGTGAAATCAGGGTAATGTTGGTCCAAGTTTATGGGAATAAAGCCATGAAGAAAATGGCAGTGTACAAATGGATTAAATGTTTCTCTGAAAGGAGAGAAAGTGTCACTGAAAAAGAGAGGTCAGGATGGTCAGTAATGAGCACAACTGACAAAAACATTGCAAAAGTTCATTGAATTGTGTGTCAAAATCATCAACTGACTGCGAAAAGCATAGCAGACCAAATCAACATCAATAGAGAAGCAGTTAAGAAAATCTTAACTGAAAATCTTGTCATGAAAAAATTGTGTGCAAAAATGGTCTCAAAGGAGCTCTTGAATCATGACAATGCACCAGCTCACACAGCACTGTCTGTGAGGGTGTTTTTAGTTGGTAAACAAATAATTGTATTGAAACATCCTCCCTGCTCACCTGATCTGGCCCCCAATGACTTTTTTCTTTACCCAAAGATATTTGATGGCATTCAGGACATCAAGGGTAATATGATAACAACTCTGAAGGCCATTCCAGAAAAAGAATTCCCAAATTGCTCTGACAGGTACACTAAGTGCCAGCTGGCATCAGGGCATAACTTCCCAAGGGGAGTACTTCGAAGGTGACCACAGTGATATTTAGCAATGAGGTCCGTAGCACTTTTTCTAGGATGAATTTGCAAATTAAATTGGCAGACCTCGCATATTTAAAGGGATGATTCCTAGCAGAGTTTAGAGGTCAGCTTTCCTTTCTCACTTTGATCTAGAGCTGGTTAATCCCTAAATCTGCTGTTGGAAGGTGGGACTCTTTTTGCGCCTGTTTTTATTTCTTCCTACCTGAAAAGCATCTCATCTTATAGGTGAAGATCAAGAAGAGGAAGGCAAAGATGACATGACAGTGATGAGACGTCGCCTGCTCTCAGTATACCCATGAAAGCCAAGCCTCTTGCTCAAATTGATCTCTCAAATTGACACCAGGAAAGAAACTAAAGACACAGCTGGATAGAAGGATGCATGGCATTAACTTTCACAAACTCGTCCTGTTGTACCCCACGGTTTTATAGGACTGATGGCATTTAGCCAGGTCCTCCCAGGAGTTTAGTTTGCACATCCCTGGAGATGCTTTCCTCAGCACACCAAACAGTTCTAAAACGTTCTTGAAGAGAAAGACTACCTGAAGATGAATACCGTCCTCAACCACTTAGATACTTTAAAAAAAAATGAAAAATAGAGAAAACAAAAAAGGTTTTCCAAGATTGATTCAATACTTTCTTGAGATAAATAAGAGGAGATAAATATCTCTCTGGTTAAAAGAAAAAAAAAAGTATTTTTCTGGTAAAAGAGAGACAACTTAGTGAATCCTCCATAAAGCTAATTGGAAATTTATTTATTTAATTACTTATTTTATTTATTTTATATTATTTTTTGAGTGGGAGTCTCACTCTTGTCGCCCAGGCTGGAGTGCAGTGGCACACTCCTGGTCACTGCAGCCTCCACCAAACAGTTCTAAAATATTCTTGAAGAGAAAGACTATCTGAAGATGAATGCTGTCCTCAGCCACCTTAAATACTTAAAAAAAATAAAAATAAAAATAGAAAAAACAAAAAAGGTTTTCCAAGATTGACTCAATACTTTCTTGAGATAAATAAGAGGAGATAAATATCTCTCTGGTTAAAAAAAAAAAAAAAAGTATTTTTCTGGTAAAAGAGAGACAACTTAGTGGATCCTCCATAAAGCTAACTGGAAATTTATTTATTTAATTACTTATTTTATTTATTTTATCTTATTATTTGAGTGGGAGTCTCATTCTTGTCGCCCAGGCTGGAGTGCAGTGGCACACTCCTGGCCACTGCAGCCTCCACCTGCTGGACTTAGCCGATCCTTCCACCTCAGCCTTCCAAGTAGCTGGAACTACAGATGCACACCACTCCACCCGACTAATTTTTGATTTATTGTAGAGATGAAGTCTTGCCAAATTGCCCAGGGTGGTCTCGAACCCACTGGCTCAGGGAATCCTCTTGCCTTGGTCTCCCGATGTGCTGGGATTATAGGCTGAGCCACCGTGCCCAGTCTACTTACTTTATGCATTATCCATCTCATTATTTGTATGCTTTTTTCTGTTATTGGTCACATTATTTTTAACATTCACTGGTTTATGCAAATCGGCTTAGGTTTCTGTGATCTTGAGAAGAAAATTGAACTTAATTTCTACTACAGTGTCTTCTAAAGCCATGTACATTTGTCACATTGCATTGGGATGTGAGTGAATCCTTGGAACTTACATTTATCTATCTTGTTCAATAATTCTCTTGAAAATGTATATGTTTAATAATATGCAGTATATAAACACAGCAACAACTTTTATAGACTATATAAACAGATATATTCCATACTTATATAGAATTTCAGAAGAAATATACTCTACGTTTATCTAGGCTTTCTATATATTATATATATACCCACACACAAAGAGAAAGAGTATTTACATATATGGAACATATATTGTAGAGATACACTGTCCAATATGGTAGCCCGTATCCATAGATGTTGTTGAACAAGTGTTCAATCAAATGAAGCTTGATGACACATTGAAATAATAATATTTTGGATGTGTTTAGTTAAATTAAATATACTATTAATTTTACTTATTTGCTTTTACTTTTTAAAACTCTATGGCAGGTCAGGTGCAGTGGCTCACAACTGTGATCTCAGCACTTTGGGAACCTGACAAAAGAGGATTGCTTGAGCCCAGGACAATATGGTGAGACTTCATCTCTACAGTAAATTAAAAAATTATCTAGGTGTGGGGGTGCACACCTATAATCTCAACTACTTGGAAGGCTGAGGTAGAAGGATCATCTGTGCCCGGTTGAGGCTGTGGTAGCCATGAGTGTGCTACTGCACTCCATCCGGGCAACAGAGTGAGATTCTGATGCACACACAAAATTGTATGATATATAACTTAAAATTGCATACTTGGTTCACATTATATTGCTGCTTGAAAGAGTTTTTCTGTAGACTATATTATCTCAATAGCAAAAATACTCTGTATATTATAAATACATAATATACTCACTGAAGAATGATTTTCAAAAAATTCTACAAATAGGTTTGGATAATCAAATCACTGTTCATAGTATTCTAAATCTTAGCCCTTTAAAAATGTTAAATAAAACATACAAAGAGTCTGTTACTTAATTTAGATTTTTATAGTTATTTTAGTGGACAATTTGTATTCTCCACAACCTCCCATTTATGAGAATTTTCCCTCTCCAACTTTTTCAACTTGGCAAATGGAAGCTTCCTTGTTAATTTTCCTCTAGCCACAAATGATTACAACTTATCCAAGCTAGGTTGACTAGGATCTTTCTGAATTCCAAATTGGAGTTAGGGAATCATATTTTATCCAGATGACCAGCAGCATTCAATGAGAAGTTCAGGAGCATAGAGTGTTCATGTGTTCTCTCCTGTGGTGAAAGTCAGTGTAAAAGACAGTGTGTAAAAGACAGTGACAAAGAATGAAAGAAGCAGAGAAGGGATACATAGAGAATATCTTTTCTACATGATTCTGTGGACTACTTACATTTCCCACTCTCCACTTTGATGTCTCAAGGCCCTTGTAAAACAATTGAACTGTCATTTGAAATAAAATTGTTTTAATTAATGCAGTCATGAGGAGCACAGAATAACACTATGTCATTAATGGTTAATCCCTTTAGTGATTAGATATTATGAAGACAAAGCTTGCAAAAAAGCAAAACACAGAAATTTGATTGTTATCTTTTTAAAAATAGATTTTTTCCCCTAAGTTATATAAGACATGTCTATAGAGAAAAGATCTATAAAATGTAGGGAAATATATATATACACATATATATAAAATAAGTATCATTATGATATCTCATTATTCCAAAAAAGTTTTATTAATGGAGTATTTTATTTTATAACTGATTTTTGTACATTTATAATCTATGTATTTAATTTTGTTCTTGGCTTCAAAATGTATACAGTAATGAATATTCAATATTCTATTCTATTTGTTTCTTGTTTGACATTGTATTTCAAGCATTTTATTATTTCATTACTATCTTATCTAAATTTTTTAATGACAACATTGAATCATAGTGTAGATGCATCATATCATATTTATTTACCAGTCTTATGAGTTCATTAAGTCTTTTCTAGTTTCTATTAGTATAAATGCTACCGAACTAAACATATATATATATTTATATATTCTTATCCCATAAGTTTTTGACTGTATCTATGGATAGGGTTGAACAATCAAATCACTGTTTTACAGGACTATAAAACTTAGTCCATTTAAAATGTTAAATGACTACATAAAAAATAGACCTCAAGTAAACAGTCTAATGGTGCACCTAAGGGAACTGGAAAAACAAGAACAATCTAAACCCAAAGCTAGCAGAAATAAAGAACAAAGTCAGAACAAAACTAAATAAAATTGAGACCAAAAAAAGAAAAATACAAAGAATCAATGAGTCAAAAATCTGGTTCTTTGGAAGGATAAATAAGATTGACAAACCCCTGGCCAGTTACACACAAACATACACATACACACACACAAGCACAGAGGGAGAGAGTATCTAAATAAACACAACCGGAAATGTAAAAGGTGACATTAAAACCAATTCCGAAGAAATACAAAAGATTATAGGAGATGATTATTAACATTTTATATATGTAAGCTATGATAGAATACTTAGAGGACATGCATAAATCCTGAAAGCACACAACCTCCCAAGATAAAACAGGAAGAAGTTGAAACCCTGAGCAGACTAATAACAAGTCAAGAAATTGATTCAGTAGTTAAAAACCTTTCTACTAAAAAAGCCCCAGGCCAGATGGTTTCACAGCTGAATTCCACCAGATATACAAGAAAGAGTTTTACAAACCCTCCTAAAAGTATTCCAAGCAATCAAGAAGGAAGGACTTGATGTACTTTACAGAGTTAACATAATCTTGATACCCCAAAATGGCAAAGACCCAACAAAGAAACAACAGGCATATATGATAAACATATATGCAACAGTTCTCAACAGAAATTTGTCCTCAGCAAATCATATCCAAAAGCACATTACAGTGAGCTTCATTTCTGAGATGCAAGGCTGGTTCAACATACACAAATCAATAAATATAACCTACCAGGTAAACGATATAAAAACTAGAAACACATGATTATCTCAAAAGATCCAGAAAACAAATTTGATAAAGTCTAAGATCCCTTCTTGATTAAAAAAACTCTCAAACATCTAGGCAGAGATAGATCATTCCTCAAAATAATAGCCATCTAAGACAAGTTTACAACCAACATCATACTTAATGGGCAGAAGTTGGAAGCACTCCATCTAAAAACCAGAACAAGACAAGAATGTCCACTATCACTACTCCTATTTAACAGAGTACTGTTAGTCCTAACCAGAGCAATCAGGCGATAGCAATAAATAGGAAAAGAGGAATGAAAGGATGGACCAAGAGCAGGAAGCCATTTAAAAAATCTTGTTCTTACCCTGACACAATGATGAGAAAGTACAAGCTATGTCCGGGAGAAAGCCATTTTTAATCTTGTTCCTAAATCCTAATACAGTGATGAGAAAGTAGAGGCTATGTCCAGGAGAAATACATGCTCTAGGTAAAGATTAACTTTGCCGACTTTGTCTTTTTAGAAACACAGACTCCTTAAGCATGACTGGTACCAGCCTATTGTAATTTGTCTTTTTAGAAACTCAAATTTCTCAAGCATGACGACCAGTATCACCACATTGTATACTCGGTGCATGTGACCAGGACCCCCCTGAGGGTCTCCAAGACATCCACAAGTGGTCAACAAGGAAGTCACAGCAGGCACGTCTACCTGATTGCAACATCTCCAGGGGGAAAGGATTTAAACCAGGGCTTGGGGGGCTATGGTGCCACACTCATCTAGAGTGTAGGCCCGCTTCTTGTCTGTGGGAAGTAAACC